CCTGTAGAGTTTCTGATGAGAAATCAGGTGTCAGCCTTATGGGAACTCCGTTGTAGGTAACAGTTTTCTTTTCTCTTGCTGCCTTTAAGATTCTCTCTCTGTCTTTAATTTTTGGCATTGATGTGTCTGGGTGAGGGTTTGTTTGGGTTCTTCTTGTTTGGGGTTCTCTGTGCCTCCTGAACTTATGTGACTTTTTTCTTTATCAGGTTAGGGAAGTTTTCTACCATTATTTCTTCAAACACCTTCTCTATTCCTTTCTCCCTTTCTGCCTCTTCTGGCACACCTGCTATTCTAATATTGTTACACTTTACATTGTTACACAACTCCCTTAAACTGTTCTCCTGTTTTTTAATTGTTTTTTTCTTTTTGGTTCTCAAATTGAGTGATATTTTCAACTCTATCTTCAAATTCACTGATTCGATCCTCAGCTTCCCCTAATCTGCTGTGTATTCCTTTCAATGTGTTCTTTATTTGTGTTATTTCATTCTTTATCTCAGACTTTTCTTTTTTCATAGTTGCTATATCTTTTTTCATACTGTTGAGCATTTTTAACATCATTACTCTGAACTCTGTTTCAGAAAAATTTCTTATTTCTACTTCATTTATCTCTTCTTCTGGAGAATTCTCTAGTTCTTTCAATTAGGGGTTCTTTCTTTGTTTCCTCAACTTGGTTGCCTGTTTGGATTTGTGACTATGTATTAGGTAGATCCTTTACACTTCTCAATCTCTAGTGCAGGACAGCGTTAAAGGCTGTTTCTGTTTCTCAATGGGAAGGTTATTGAATTTGATTTAGCAATGGTAGCTCCTAATGTGACTAGGCTTTGACACTGTTAACCCATGAACACTGGAGGGCAGCAGGGAAACCAGGGTAAGCATCACAAAATATTTTAGTAGGACACCAGGTGGCACTGCTTCAGGAAAGAACTTCTTTCTTGATATTTGGGGTATGCTAGCATTCTCAAGGAAGGAATATAGAGATTTAGATAAGGCTTCACAAAGTGGTGACATTTGAGTAAAAATGTAAAGGAACTTCAGAGGTACACCATGCAGATATTTGAGCAGGTAGCATTACAGGCAGAGAGGACAAAGGCAAGAGGCAAAGTTTTATATGGCAACATTTCGGAGTATTTCAGGAATAGTATCTATTGCTTCTGATGAGAAGTCAGGCATCATTCTTAATGATGTTTTGCAGCATATGTTTCAATTTTATCTTGGTATTAGCAAGATTATATGGATTTGTCTTCAATGTCTGCAATGCTTCTACCAAAACCATAGTGGTGGACTTGCAAAATTCCTTATTCAACTTATGACATTCCACATAGTATTTCCCATGAATAAGGAGCTTGTTTTTACAGAAAATCAAGTAGAGCAGTAAGTGGAGATGCTTGCTATGTGCAAAGAGATTTTGGAGTGGGTAATGGAAGAGGTTTTTATAAATACCAGCTACAATCCTGAAATCCTTTGCAGAAACAAGACTAGAATAATTATAAAAAATTCTTTCTTATTTGATATAAATATATTTATGTATTTATCAACAGTTTTTTACTTCCCTCTTCTGTTTGTCTACATGTAGTAGCATAAGGTGTGCTAATAAAAATTAATCTTATACAGTATCTCTTTATATTTCAGTAATTAAACTAAAGGATATCAATGGGAGAGTGGAAAGAAGGAAGTATATCACCCAAAGATGGATAAATGAACTTTGTGTCCTCTTTCCAGGTTAGTTTGGTTTTCATGGGGCCCTGTGGTTGCTTTGTAACCATCTGAAAATATATTCATTTTATTATTCTGGGTTAGGATTGGTCATGCAAGAGACTTGTGCAAGATTTAGAAGGTAGTAGTGATGCAGCAGCCATATTTTTTTTATGTTCTGCATGTTGGTGTAGGGCTCCAGGCACCCACACATGTTGCTTCTGATCTGATAGCTAATCTTATTGCTGACTCATAACTCCACCTCCTGCCAGATCTACTCCTTCAGCTTCTGTTTGTCTTGGGCCAAGTATGCAAGTAGCTTGCTGGCAAATGACACCCACTTTTCCTGAATGTCACTCACCACCATGAGATTGAAGGAGGCAAGAGACAGACAAGTTTTAGTTTGTCTTTATGGCTTCCAATAGTACTCCTGAGTTCTACTATATCTTTACAGACCACATTTGGTCCATGCTTTTGTCCATGTTCAACTTCCCTTCACAAATGCTACTCTAGCTGACTTATAGTAAATTCAGGTTCACTACCAGATGCAAGCACACAGCATTGTAGACTCCTCCACCAGCTCCAGCAATTGCATGAATTCTAATCCTTATAATTAATTTCTTATTCTACATCAGTGTGGTGGTTCTGCTTCTCTGATTGCACCCTAATTTACTCACCCCTAAGAGAAAAGATCTAAGGAGATTATTTTTATGATGATTCCAGATAACAAGACCCAGATTTGTATGTGAGCATCTTTTTATGACTGACAATGTATTAGAAGCAAGTTACATTGGACACCTGTTTCCAAATGACATAGAAAGAGGTTTTACCTAGAATTAAGTCTTCTGATCCAGACCACAGATTAAGCAACCATAGTCACTGCTATTTTGTGTCTGGGATCTGCAGGTGTGCATTGCAGCTTGGCTTCTGCAGTGGGGGGACTCTCTTACTGAGCTCTGGGGTTTTTGTTCAGCTTGTACCATTACTTTAAACACCGTGAGTTCCCAGAGAGCACAGAAATATTTTGCTGAATCTTCCAGCTGTAAGGTTGAAATGGTGAGGCTGATGGATTTAGCTGCTTTCTGGAAGTTTATAGAATAGCGGCCATCCTTTGCATTCTGGCCAGAAGAAGCCTGACGAATAAGGAAAATGAGCTTTCCACTTGTCAGCTGCTTATACCAAAATATATAGTAGACGCTGTCACTTGTTTCATACCGACAGTTCAGGGTGGTGACTAGTGCCCCCTCTTGCTTGACTGTTTCTACTTGGTCTTGAATAACTTTCTGAGCCATGCTGGATCCTGTAGGGGTGGAAATCAGAAAACAGAGCTGATGTAGTTAATAATATACTGTAAGAGAATACAGGACTCAACAACAGACCAAATTGAAATCACAATCTGCTTGCTTTTCTCCCTTCCTTTTTCCTCCTCAAGTCCATGTGAAATACCACATGCCTGTGCGCTATCCTTTCATCCTTAAATTCTCGCCCATGTTTGGAAACATCCCTACCAGAGAAGATGAAGGCCAGGAATCCCCACAGCAGGCTGGAGAATGGCATGTGGCACATATTCCTCTACACAAATGTGTCTGGTTCTGCCCAAGCTGAGAGTTTGGTGGCTCTGAGTGCCTGCACATGTACATACGTAGTTCCTGGGTGCTGATGCTGCTCCCCCAAACAGGAAATAGGGTTTCTTATGTTCATTGACCACATGCTCTATGCACAGATGACAAAAGAGTCTGGCTCTCTCCAAACCTTTATTTTGTCTACTTGCCTTTCGCTGGTAATTAAGTTAGGCAGTACCTGAAAAGGGGCATGGAGAAAGCAATTAGTATCAAAGGTCGGAGCTGAGCAGAACTGAAAATTGAACCAGTTGACATACATTGATCATTTTCAGAAGAAAAATTTTGTGGTCCCATTTAAAATATATTTTATTATGTGCTGTGAACCATCCTTATAATCTACTTACTGGTCACTAATTTAGCCTGTTCTTACTTTTTTCCATCCAGAATCCAATGAAATTTTTTAGAAAACCTCACAGATCTTTGGATTTCTTGATGAAAAGCAAGCCTATCCAAAATTCTTCTAGAACTCTGAAGAGGATCAGGAACTTCAGTCCTGTTGTCTCCATAAGAAGAATTGTATTTACTAGTTCATCTATCCTAGAATTTTCCTGGTGTCACATTTTCTATCCCATTAGTTCAAAGTGTTCAGTCTCACATGTTAAATTCCATGGCTGGGTATTTTATTTGTAAAATAAAGTCAAGATAAGCATGCCAGATCTCTCTGTGACACAATGCTACAATCCACTCTGTAGGATGTAATAGCTATAAGCTGCAAGCACTTAGTACATATCAACCACAGAAGTTAGTGGCTGAAGTTTTGTGAGCTGTTATGTGATAATGTGGAATATAGCTGTCAAATATTCCATTTGGTATCATTATTTTAATGAATGAATTAATCTAAAAGTACAAAAGGCAAATAGACAACTAGAAAAGAAAGCACTGACAAGGTTTCTGAAACAGTGCCAGTTCATTGATAGTAAGTTCAAAATAACTTATCAAAAAGTAGTAGAGGGAAGAAAGTTTATAATTAGTTGAGATGTCTACTTCTCTATCCCATTTCATCTCTCATTGTGGACAGGTATCCAATGCCCTGGTTTGCAAGTATTTGTAACTAGTAGAGGAGACCATGAATAGCCATAGCAGTCTGGGGAGTAGCAGGACATAGGATATTTCTCTTGTTGAAATGGCCCTCCTCTGTGTTCCTGACAGTACAGGTGCATCTAGCAGCCGCCTTTGAAATGTAGATTCTAACTGGGTCAAATTTGAATGGGTTGTGACACCCAAGTTGGGAGATTTGGGCTGTCTTCAGCATTATTTTACCTTTATCTGTGATTTAATGATGTGATTAAATCTGGTAAAGGACAAGCATAAAGCTTAATATTGAAGGAAGTATTGGAAGGATATTTATTACCTAAAATGTCAAAGTTTAGTAAGTTAATATTTGATAAGAATGAGGTGCTTATCTAAAACAAATTTATTGCTAAGTATGGCTGTAATTGCAAATATTCATTCATGTTTTGATTGCTCTGTTGCCTCCAACCTGATGTCGGTGAAATGTGCTCACTGATCCTTGGCTTCCCTACAAGAGACAAACAAGTCATTACCTCCTTTCCTTCCTCCTTACCCACCAAACCAGGAAAACTGGTAACTTCACAACAACAAACACTTCTCAGACAAATGATATCAAAATAGGTTTCTGACTTCTGTAATCTCTCCAGTGCATATTGAAATACCAAATTGTAACAGCAGTGAAATAATAGTTATTTTTAATGTAACTCTGTATGGTTTATTAGAAGTTCTAGAAAGAGAGAATTCATATAGATCTTCTAAATTCAAATATTTGGCCACAATGTTGCCATGAATGCATGTATATTGTTTGGTGCAGTTCTACATCTATATACACTGAGTGGCCAGATTATTATGACCACCCCATCAGTACTTTGTTGGGCCACCTTTTGCCTTCAATACTGCGGCAATTCTTCTTGGCATTGACTCCGTGAGATTTGATGGTTGTGGAACCAGCTGCCTGACGGCTCTTTTAACTTCATCCCACAAATGCTCAATTGGATTGATATCTGGTGATTGTGGGGGCCATCTAAGCAAGGTAAAGTCTTCCTCATGTTCTTGAAACCACTCCTACACAATACAAGCACCGTGGCATGGCGCATTGTTTTGTTGGAAGAAGCCATCTCCATTGGGATACGCTATCAACATGATAGGATGAACTTGATCAGCAACGATACTTAGGTATGTTGTGCTATTCAGACATTTGTAATGATCTGGCCCTCTAGCAACTTCAGCGCGAAATTATAGTTGATTTGCCTAGAAACGTCAGGTGGTCATAATAATCTGGCCACTCAGTGTATATATGAAAGCCTAAGCAACCATCTGACCATTCAACCATTCATCAACTATGATGCACAATGACCACTGGGGACAGATGCTCTAACCAGTAGAGGAGGGAGCCTGATTCCTCGCAGAATTGGCTGTGGGTTAGGTTGCTGCTGGGGCCCTGTTGGCCCAAATCTGCTTCACCCGCATCCCTGACCCATCAGGAGATGTCAGAGGCCCAGTGCATGGATTCATGCACTGTTTGGATCCCTTAGCCTTGCCTGCACCCTCTCACAATCCAGGACCCCTTCAGGATGTTGGAGAGTCAGTTTTAGCCCAATACCTTCAGGCCAGACCGAGGGACCCCACTCGTGCATGAATCTGTGCACCAGGCCTCTAATTCTTATTATAGTTATCAAAATCTGTCCCCAAATACTGTTATGTAAGTAAAAATATTCTAAACTACTAATGGTATAAATGTTTTTCCAAAATAACAATATTTTTCTCTCTAGACATTGAAGGAATAAAGATTCTTCTCCACTTTATCCTGAAAATTCACCTAGTGGAGTTCATGTCAAATTATCAAATAAAAGTGTTTTTTTTTTAAATTTGTTCACCTCCCAAAGAAACCCAAATGAGAACAATTGAGTTATTCTATGGTAAACTACCCTCAGATTATCCTTGGTTCTTTATAGTAATTCCCCATACCTTATGAAGCCACAGAATCACTATTAAGGTTCCCAGATCTTTTCTATTCTTTCTAAATTCTTACATCCTGGATAGTGGCTATCCTTTGATGCTGACCACACATTCCAACCTAGACATTATATTTTCATCTTGTACCTTTTAACCCAATGAAGCTACTTCAATCAGATATACCTACTATTTCAAATTTCTTATCCAATTTTTCAAACAACTAGAAAAAAGAAGCAAAACAAACTCTGAGAGCCAGGGGAGTTCTCAAAAATTATATGTATATTATTTTTAAACTATAGTCCCATGTTGTACATTACATCCCCATGACTTACTTATAACTGGAAGTTTGTACTTTTTACCACCTTCACCTATTTAACCCAGCTTCCCAGCCCCGCCTCTGGAAACTACCTTTGTGGGGCGATCATGGGGTAATGGCTGAGGCCCCAACCAATAGCATCGAACCCAACTTGGCGGGCCTGGCGCCAGTGGGTGTCATAGTGTGGTAGTTCAGATGGTCGTTCCACTGTTCGGCAGTTCGGTCGATTTGCATATTGCACTTTTATTATTATTGATTCTCTAGGAATTTTCACTTCTAATTAGCAAATTACCTTAATTACTATACATCTATTCAGTTTTTGTATTTCTCCTTGAATTGCTTTTGGTAATATATATTTTTTAATTAAATTACTCTTTTTTCTAAGGGTTTTAAAATTGATTGGAGGCTGAAGGGAATAATTTGTTTCCTTGCCTTTTCCAGCCTCTAGAGTCTGTCTTAACTCCCTCATCACATGACCCTTTCTCCATATTGTTCTATTATCACATCACCTTTTCTCCTCTGACTTTGCTATTTCAATCTTAAAAGCATCCTTCTGATTACATTGGGCCCACCTGGATAATCCAGAATAATCTCACCATCTCAAGTTCCTCAAATAAACACATCTGTAAAGTTCCTTTTGCTCTATAAGATAATATATTCACACATTCCAGAGATTATGACATGGACATCTTTGAAGGTCATTATTTAGCCTACTACATTAAGTATTTTCTAATTTTTCTATTATAAATATTATCAAATATTGGTCTCTTTTTCAGCTCATCAAAAATAGTTAGCATTAGATGTCCCCCCATACATGCAAAAGGATGAAACTAGACCACCAACTCACACCATACACAAAAATAAACTCAAAATGGATAAAAGACTTAAACGTAAGATGGGAAACCATAAAAATACTAGAGGAATCCACAGGCAGCGAAATCGCAAACATATGCCGAAGGAATTTCTTCTCTGATACTGCTCCTAGGGCAATGGAAACTAAAGAGGAAATAAACAAATGGGACTACATCAAAAT